CACAGGAGTGAGTCTAAGTACCTCTCTACGTGAAGACCTCCCGGGCACTGCCGCCAGGACCTCCGCTCCACGCACACACCCAGTCGCTGGCCCCAAGTCCCCCGAAGCCTAGAACATATCTCAGGTTTAACCTGCCCAAGACAGAGCTTCTGGTTCCAAATCTGCTCCCCCACTCACTTCACCATCTCGATGAATGGACATGACATTTTTTTTTCAGTTTTTCAAGTAAAAAATGCGGAGACATCCTCGATTCCTACATAAGTTTGCTAGAGCTGCTATGACAAAGTACCACAAATTGGGTGGCTTAAATGACAGAAATTTATTTTCTCAGCGTTCTGGGGGCTAGAAGTCTAAGATCAAAGTGTCGGTAGATTGGGGTCCTCTGACGACTGTAAGGGAAGGATCTGTTCCAGGCTAGTAGGTGGCCCCCTGTCTTCAGAGGGTCTTCCTCCTCCTGTACCTGCCTGCCTTGGAGTCACACGCTGGCCCCCGGCGAGCTCCTACAGGAGCGTGAACCTTCTGGCTGCACGTCCACATTTCCTTTTGCTCATCTGCCCGGTCACCCTGGCTGCCTTCGTCTGCTCCTTCCACACAGGCCAGGAGCTCCCCAGCCTGAGACCCTTGCTCTCTCTCTCCCTGGCAAAAACCTTCCCTTAGCTCTCCCCTAACTGGCTCCTTCTCATGCTCGGGTCTCCCTTTAAACGTGACCTACTCCAACTACCCGAGGCAGCCCTCCTCCTAACCTAACTGATCTACGCATTTTTCTTTCATAACATGCATTGTCGGCCACCACCTTCTGTAGTATTTGTTGGTTTACTTGTTTACTGTCTGTCTCCTCCTATGAGTATATAAGTTCCAGGGTGATCAAAACCTTATCAGCTGTGGTCACTGGTCTATCCCCAACCGTAGGGGCTCAATACGTGTTTGCGGGGGAAATATGAATGAATAGGTTAATGGGAACCTCCAATGCCCACCCAGCTTAGCGATCTTCACACCAACTACGTCATGGACTTGAAACAATTATTTGGACATACAAGTACACACGTGTTCAGAGAGCTGAGAGGAGACAGAGAGGCTGAACATTACATTGAACACAGAGTTCGGAATACAGAATGTCAGTCTTCTTTGTTCACGTAACCAAAGCCTTGACAATACTACTTTTCTCTAAGCTGAAACGGGAAGCCATAGATTCTAGAAGATTTTGTGGGGAAGGCCTCTTTCTGCCTTTCGACAAATGGTGCCCAGCCGAGCTGTGTGACAAGGAAGGTGAAATCGCTTCCAGCAGCTGCCACCAAGCTTGAAGGGTTGATTGATATGACAAAGTCTTTCACAAAGAACATAAATCAAAGGAGATGACTGACAGTGAAGTAAACAGTTTAGAACTAGAGTAATTAGGAATATATTAGCAATTAAAATAAACTTATTATCATTAGCAGGATTGGCAGTTACTTGCCGTTTCCCCAGGGGCCTCGGTTCAAGTTTATCCTTCTAGGTTATATTAAGGCAGGATTAATGTTTTTGGAGATAGTTTTAATTTGTCTCAATTACTTGTCACAGTGCTTGGTATATGGAAGGCACTTGATAAATATTTGCTGATGGAAGGAAGGAAAGAAGGAAGGAAGAAAAGAAGGAAGGAAGGAAAGAAGGAAGGAAGGAAAGAAACAAAGGAAGAATTGGAATTCTAGAGATACTGGTAAACATGGGAGCTTGCTAACCTGCCATAAAGTTGCAATGAGAAGCCCTTCTGAAGGAAAATTAATGTAAGTACAATGGAATTGCAACCACAACATTAGTTACTCATCACCAGAATACTAAATAATGAAGAGAATAAGAACCAAATAGCTTTCTAGGTCAATGTCCCTGGAATTTGTCCATCACAAAAGAAGTAGGAAGATTGTTTTGCTGTTCCTGGAATTTCAAAACACTCTCTTCGAGATTTGCCTCTCCCACTTATATGCACCAAAATGTGGTTAGCAGTTTCCTCAGGAAGCGCTACGCATCTTGTTATATTTCCAGGAGCCAAAGAAATGAGTCTATTTTGAATAGCGATTTGCATAAACAGACACTCACCATGACTCTTTAAACTGTCTCATTCAGTTTGAATGAAATGAACTTGACTTTGCTTGGAGCTGTCACATTGTGTGATTGATTTCCCAATTTCCCTTCCTGCGAGTGGACTGTGGCAATCACAGCGCGTCTGTACACCTGCCCTTCATGCCCCCCGTAGGTGCCCTGTTTCTGAAAAGCACAGTGACTGTGATGTTCGTTTGAGGAAGGATATAACATGACCAGCCCAGACTGGCCCATGACAAACTATTAAGTAAAATTCCTGGTTTCACTGATTTATTACCCAGGGCTCTTCTCTGTTTCACCAAAGAGGTGACAATCTGCCAAAGTCCCTGCTCCTGGAAGGAGCTCTTATCCTGAATTTTAGTGGAAAGGTCCCAAAGACAAGGAAATGTCCTCTGACTAGAAGAAGGGGGCACCCTTCCAGGGTCACCTGCTAGATCTCCTTAAACAATGAATGGCTTTGTGATGATCCTACTAAAGTGACAAGTCCCTTCATCCAGGACAGCCCAGCTCTTGGGGAGATCGGCTCACCAACTCGTTCATTCAGTCATTCAACAAGTGAACCGTAATGGGTGTCGGGAAGTGGGCTGACAGCTAGGGTTCAGCGATGAACAGCAAACTCCCTCCCTGTCCTCAAGCAGCTCTCAGTCTCGAAAATGATGCAGCAGAGAATGCAGGGTTGGGCCCCAAGGCCTGGATCCACGGTCCCGGTCATATAATCCCAGCAGGCCTCTGCTTCCTTGTCTGGTCTGTACTCTGCAGAGGATAACACTGCCTGTGGCCAAGGGCTGCTGTGAGCGTGAACTCACACCTCAGAGCACTTGGGCAACATTGAGCACATACGTAGGATGACAGTTCCATTGTTTAACTTGTGTATGAACCAGTAGAAGACCCCCGTTTCATAGACGTTACGTTTTTCAGGAAAAATTCAAGGCCCCTTTGACCAGCAGAGAGTTTTTCAGAGTGAGGCTGAGGTTCAAGAGTGAGTTTTTCTGAAGGTGAGGACAGAAGTTCGGAGTCAATGTATCAGACCTCTGAGTGGCAATTGCTCACGAGAACTTTCTAGAGTCCTGGACTGTCTTCCTCTTTTGCCCCAGACACGGAGATCCTTTATACTAGACTTGACTTCATGCCTCTGTCATCTTAGAAATTATCTTTCTACCTGGAATACCCCCTCGTACCAGCTTCCTGCCAGAAGCTCGGTCCTTTTCAGTCCTGATGAACCCTGCGCTGTCAAAACGCACACGTGCACGCCCAGGCAGAGTTGCGACACCGGGCTGCCGCTCACGGCGTGTCCTCCCCTCTGGGGGTAATCAGACCCAGCACGCACACCTGCAGCGGCACACCGCAGACGGCTGTCGGAATTGCTGCCTGCGTGTGGAAACGGGTGAGTTTTAGCTCTGGAGGGTGGAGTCGCCTCACACTAGTAAATCTGCGTGACGCCTCACAATAATAACTCTGCGGGTCTGAGCCAGACCTTCAAAGCCAGAGGTCATATTCTTCTCCCCACGCTGTCCTCCTTCCAAAAAAATGGTGAAATGATGAGAAACAGACTTTCGGGTAGAAGCAGGGGATCCTACCTACAGTCTTAGTTTGAGTGCTTTTGGGTACTCCTTCGAGCGTCAGATATTCCTCCCGCTGTGGGGAGGTAGTGCCTGAAATCCCACGGTTCCTGTCCCCTTCCTTCGGCCCTAGGGCTTTGGTTACCAGGGTCTAATTTCTCAGTCAGTTGTCTCTGCGGTTGTCCCCACCGCCACACTGATTAGTCCCTCCTTCACTCCACGGTTTGCCTTTCCTGCCTCTCCGCCTGAGTCCACTCTCGCCTCCATCCTGCACAGCCCAGCAACTGCCCGTGACGAACACGGAACAGGCGTCCGCTCAAAGAATGCCTTTCTTTGCGCTCAGCGTTGCTCTGTGCATCTTCTCTGAAAATGCAAATGTGATACACATACCAGAGTAAGACTGTGACTGGGATGGCCGGAGGGTTTTGTTTGAATCTTATACATATTGCCTTTTTTTTTTTTTTTTTTTTTTTTTGCAAATAGGGTAGAGGGGAACAAGTTTCTAATAATAATATTCAAAAATAAACCTGCTCTTGGGAGGTCTCAGACCTCAAAGCGCTACCATCGGAGCATCTGAGAAGGAATGAGCTTACTCACGTCCTTCCTAGTCCAGAATTGGGGGGCAATAGAGGGGGCACTTTTGGAGAGAGGTTTGGTTTGCTATGAGGGGAGCAGGGAGGCCGTAGGAGGGAGACTCCCTATACTTTCCGCGGAGACTGCTGCTTAGGGAAAGTGGAAGGAGGGGGCAGTGTGTGATGTTTTCAGAAAAAATTTTAGCAGGAAATGGACGGGTGTAGGGCAGTGACTTTGAAGAGAGGACAACTAACCTTTACGCCGAGCCCAATGTTTAAAAAAAAAAAAAGCCTCTCCTTCATTCTAATTTTCTCATTAAAGCTTCGCAGCGATCCTCGAGGTTATTATTATTACTCATCTTAGAGAGGGAGAAACTGAGGCCCAGGAAGTTTAAGGCCAAGCCGCTGGTAAATGGAGTGGGGGCCAAATCCAGATCATCTGGTGTGGGAAGGTGTTAAATAAAATACAAAAAAAGAAAAAAGAAAAAGAAAGTAGAGAGCAGGCCAAGAGACACGCCTAGGAGGCGGATCCCACCGGGAAGCTGGAGGCCCTGCGTTCCTCGGTTTAGTCAGGCCGGTTGATTCAGGGGAAAGGAAGCGGTCCCCAGAAGGCCAGGGTGGGATCGTGGAACAGGGCGAGATCTGGGGCGGAGGCAGCCTTGGCTCCGCCCGCGAGCCCCTCCACCGCGGAGTCTCACTTCCCTGCTCCGCCCGAGCTCGGGAAATGCGGCGCCGCCTGGTCATGCGCGGCCTCCGTAGAGTCCCCGTTGCCATGGTTCCCAAGGGCCTGGCCGACGCGCGGAGACGTGAGAGGGAACTCCCGGGGGCTCCCGGAGCCCACGAACAGCAGAGGTGCCATGGGCCGGAGTAAGCGCCCCCTCCCACCTTTCGCCCTCGAGCCTTCCCCTTCCAGACATCGTGCGGGGTCCACTCGGACCCTTGGCGCCAACCCGGATCTGAGCCCAGCGCGGCACAGCAGGTCCCTTCGCCCTGTTCAGACCCAGCTGGGCCAGGTCCTCCTCCGACCCTCCTGGCAGCCTGGCCTCTGAGAGGCTCGGGGTCGCCCTCGGTGAAATGGGGCGCGCCTGGGGTGGGTGGAAGGGGGCGGTGGAAGCGCAGGGCGCAGATACACTGGGGGCGGGCCCGCGCGTGCCCTTGGTTGCTCTGTGGTCTCGGGCTTGTTGCTGTCACAGAGCCGCCGCTCTAGACCCACTGGGGAGGGCAGTGCGGCTGCCTGGTGGTCCAGGAAACCGCGTCCGGCCTCCCTGCTGCACCTACTCCCCAGGAGGCTGTGACTTCACCCCTCTGGGCCTAAGCCTCCTCATCTCCAAAACAAGAATAGGGCAAGAACAATGTCGTTTAACAGACACAGTGTTGTAAAAGTGTTCCTTTAAAAAGATACCGAGAGAGCAGTGCAAAGTGATGGGATTAACAGAATTTCACGTGAGGTGGAACCATTCTGATGCCAGCACCGTATTTGTCCTCCCCGAAAGGCGATTTGGTGCAGTCCAGCCTAATCGATCCCTTAGTGTTATAATTAATATTTTAAAGTCAAGAGATTGGGGTAGATGACGGGGTTTCTGCTCTGGAAGAGATGACGGCGGCTTTGTAAATGTGACCGCCTCATTGGTTACTGATATTTCCGCTCATAGGCTTTCATAGAACAGTAGAAAAAAATTAGGCAAACAGTCGTAAAAAATTAAATGAAAATTTTGTTTCTATCCTGTGACCCAATCATTTTACTCCTGGGTTTTAGCAATGAAAAATGAAACCCTTTGTCTACACACAGACTTGTATATGTCTATTTATAACAATTGCTTTCCTAGTAGCAAACAAACAAACAAACAAAAACAAAAGAACAAACAAACAAACAAAACCAGAAACAACCCAAATATTCTCCAACATTTATTCACGGGTTAACAAGTGTTAATCTCTGTATGCGGGCTCACTGTATGCTGCACTTGGATGTGACTTCATTGATTACCTGGCTCCAACACGTCCCACTTGAATAAGGATACCTGGGCAATGCTTTGTGTTTGCAGGCGTTCATGTCAGCTCAACCCCCTGCTCCCAGCATATCATTGTTCAGGTAATGGCCATCGCTGGTTTTTTTTTAAAGGCTTAGAGGTATCACTGCCATGTACTCTTGTTGGGGTGTTGCAGAGGCCTTCCCTTTGGGGACCCAGGCTCTGTTTTAATCAATGGGTTGTTAGATAAAATACAGGACAAACAATGTGCATATGTGTGTGCGTATACATATACATATATATATATGTATATATATAATTTCCCCCCCTAAATCTGGCAACCCTAGTTTCAGGTCCAAAAATGGGCAAAGGCCTGGAAACTGGGCAAGAACTTGTGAGTTTTTATTGAGGTGATCGATGTCCTTGTCCTTCAGGTCATCGACCCTTGCTGTATTTTGATTGTCCAGATTGAGTAGTATCATTGTTCGCTGCCCACCTATAGTGTCCTTAGGGATGTCATGGTCTGTTGACCATCTTTCCGTGGGTAAAACCCCCACTGGCTGTCACTTCGACCTCGCCACTCATCGTAACGTCTATCCAGCAGTAATGATCGGTGTCTTGGTTGCCACTGGGCGGGCGGCAGGGGAGCTGACTTCAAAGTCCCATCTTAGCATCTGCTTTTGCTACCACTTCTGGTATTGACTCTCCCAGGCGGGTTCCCGGGAGGCAGACTTTTAGATAGAGGTTAGTGTGCAGGAGGTTTACTGGGCAGCGTTATTGGAGTGGCTAGAAAATGAGGTTGGCCGTGATGCATCTTAACAAAGGCTTCCGCTAACCAACCCGGACACTGGGAAGGAACTCTAAACTTGGAATGGGGGACAACCCAAGCTGGGGTGAGAAGGCTGGGCCTTTGTAGCCCGCGGCAACCGTCACTAGAGATGGGTTTTGCTGGGAAAGCGCACGACCGTGGCTCAGGGCTCTTCACCTGAAGTGACCTCTGAAGAAGGCGGGCAGCTGAGGGCTGTCTGTCTGCGGGCAGAATGCAGGAGGGGTCACTCAGAACCTCAGGGGGAACAGGGTGGCACAGCCCTGCAGGTGCCACGGATAGCCATCCGGGCTGCCCCTTCCTCATCGGCTTCTCTGGCAAACATCTCCTCCCAGTTCAAGACTCAGCTCAGGCTTCTGCTTGATGCCTCTTTTGCCCTCCATCTTGTCCCTCGGTAGCACGGATCACTCTCTCCTTTGCACTCACTGCGCTGTGTGCTTTTGTCATTGCCCAGCTGCACTTGATTAATGTTTTTTAATAGCACACTCTAGGCGATAGGGTGCAGGATGCGCCTTATGATAACACAATAAGAAAAGGCAGTAATCCAATGAGTAATCCCGTTTTTTAAAGTTTCTTTTTGGAAAAAAGTAACAGAAAAAAAGAGTTATTAGATGCTTCGAGAGGTAGCCACTTGTTTGTAATCCCTTAATTTCTATTAAATCTCTGTTTCATATACAGGGTGGAGCAAAAGTAGGTTTACGGTTGTGAGTATTCAAAACACAGTTTATTCTTGTACTATTATTTATTAATTATTGTATTATTTTCCATATGAAAAACTGTAAACCTACTTTTGCCCATCCCTGTATGTATCTGCTAGGTCTTTGAAGATGTTTAAAAATTCTGCAGAATCTGCCACAAACATATATTATTGATTTTATTCTGATCCAGCGAGAAACAGAGGACTGTTTACAAAACATGATCTAAAGCCTGAAGGAGCGCACGCTACACTGTCGGCTTGGGGAGTTTCTAAAACAGTGGCTCGATACACCAAAAAGCTTTGTAGAAACAAACCCAGCATGACAACCTCCAGTATCCCCGAAACTTTCTGCCCTTTGCTCCCCCACCACACAAGCCATGTTATTGACACTCCTTCAAGTTATCAAGAATCCAATTACAGTCAGAGTTGAAAGGAAGCCTAGGCTGGCTGATCAATTCTGCTTAAACCTTTGGATTCCTCAGCAGAATTCTGTTAGTGAGAGAAATATGAACCCGTGGTTAAAACTATCTCTACGGTGCATCAACCACTCATTCCTCCAGTTGTGCAGACGTTGGTTTGGACCTTCTATGGCTGAGACATCTGTCAGAATGCATCTGAGTCCTGTACTTTGCTCTTTGAATTTTTCCAAAATAAGGAAGTGAAAGCAATATGTAGCATACAATCCCTTAATGACATATTAATGCTTCCAAAGCATTTTTAAATCCCTAGAGTGATTTCTTGTAAACACAGTGCTTTATTGTTTGGAGCAGGACCTTCTAAAGGTGAACAGTTCTTCTTGGGGTTAAAGAACGTTTGGTCTAAACTATGTAGTAACTAAAACTGCAAAGTGCTTTTGCATTCAAAAGCACGAAACCCTATCATCTCCACGCACCGTGTAGAATATTCCGACAGGTTTCTTCTTGGGGACTGTGGGTTTTGCACCGATGTTTGCCATTACGGACGCGGCAGTACTGTGTCACAACAATTTCCCAAGTGCTACAAAATGGCATGCTACACAGCAGCTTGCTTAGTATAGAAGAGTTCAGAAAAGGGCCTCTGGGAAATTCGCAGCCTTCCCAGTTTCCCGTCTCCTGTGGTCCTCTGTTTTCTTTCAACCTGCACCAATTGTGTGTAGTTGCTGCTGGTGGGCCAGCTTCCCTGCTGCGCTGAATTAACTCGGGGACCCCCCCCTCCCTTGTGAGCACCTGTGTGTAAAGTAGTTATTTACTGTAAGGGGGATTCCCCTGCCCCACGCCCTTTCCAACTAATAGCGATTATTGTCTTAATTCTCACGATTGGGAGATATGGATCAACATAATTCCTTCCTATTATCTATGGGCCCCCGAGAGTAAAGATTTGACAATTGCATGAAAATGATCAAAATTCACACATATAATAGCATAATAAAAAAGTTTTTTTAATTTGAAGAAAGGTGTAGGAAGAGAACATAAGAAGAGTATTTAGTACCAGTAGGAACTTTGTGAAGGGTTGGAGGAGCCTGCAAGTCTTTAGGTTTAGACAAATCAGGAAAGCCTTTCGGACTGTAGAGCTGGGGGTGTGGGTGGGTGGGGGGGAGCTGCGATACCTTCCATGTCCCCAAGACCCAGGAAGCTCTCTGTGGGCTGGCAAACGCTGCTGCAGCCACCGGGCCAGAGAGCAAGTGATGCTTAACAAGACGCTTTCAGGATTCCCCCAACACATCTGCCCCGGACCACGCCTGCAGCCAGCAGCTCCTATGGAGCTCAGTTAGGTTCCTATCTTTGGAATGGATCCCCGCTCAGCCTTCCCAGGCACCTGGGGATCCAACTGGGGAAAGATATAAGTACAGGACCACATATCAAGCTGCAATGAAACTGCCGAATGCACTTTCCTCCCTAGACGAATGCCTGCGTAACAACCCAGAAGGCTGCATTGAATGTACATTTCTCCTCGGGTCGTGCCAGAGCATGGCAGCTGGGGGAGCTGGCTCCCAGGTTACCCCACCCCCCCGGCTCGATTCCAGTCCCTCTTGCTTGTGTGTGAAGGTGGACACTGCCTACACCCCAAACCATCCGCATCCCCAGGAAACAGCTGCTCCTTGGACACCCCTGGGAGGAGAGAGGCGCGTCTCGCGGTGCGGCCATCTTCAGGAATGAGCCTGGAGAAGCACCAGCAGGGCTCGGAGCGGGTGGGGACGGCTTGGGCCGAGGATTCCACTGCTCTTGGACCCAGGCTAGTCTGGAGGGAAGAGCGCAGGCGCTGGCTAGGCATGTCCTCCTGGCCCCATGGGTTCCAGGTCTGACGACAGCAAGGTCCCCAACATGCACCCTCCCTCATGCAGGGATGTGTGTGGCTCTCAGACTGCAGGAACACTCCCCGCACAGAGTGTTTTGACCTCTTGACCTCCATGTTTCCCCCGTCTCTCTTCCCAAGAGCGAACATTGCAAGCCTCTCCACTCCCGTCGCTAGAAGGAGCAGAGGGTCCAGCTGACTGCGCACAAATGATCGGATTCATACACGTTTCCCATTGCTTCATAAAGGCGAATTCCACTGCAGGGATGTGGCATGGCCGTGGGGCAGCCAAAGGTGCTGTGAAGACCTTTGTCTCAGCCAGAGGGGCCTATGCATTTAGGGCTAAGACATCTTGAGAGGTTCTTAGTGGTGCCTGGTGGGGAACAGCAGAGCATGGTGGTTCAGGGCACCAGACTCCTGCATTTAAAACGTGGCTCCAGCGCTGCGTACCAAGCCCTCAGATGAGTTTACACACTGTGCCTTCACTCCTCATCTGACAAATGTAAATGTTATATCTACTCATGTTATTACATGCAAAGCACTGAGGATGGTGCCTGGCACCTTGTAAATGGGCGATAAATGAATCTGTATGATTTCTTGGGGTGGACATGCGATATTTTCACATCCTGGAAGGCCAGGGTTCAAACGGAAGAATGGTTTTATTCCCGCCTCAACTGGAGTGTATCTTAGGCAGATGATTTTATGTCTTGATCTCGGCTCAAAGCGTGGACCCCAGGGCATTGTCTCCAGTCCCTTGGTGGTCCCTGCAGGCCTGTGCAACACCCCTGCCGCTGAGGGGAGACTCCCGTGACCCCTCTTCCTGCGAGCAGCTTCCTGCACCCCTCCCGGAACAGACGCAGGGGCGGCTGCTGTGTAAGATTGCAAGGCAAAGTCTGGGCATTCCTGTCTTTTCTCTTCAACTCTAGTTAAAGGAACACTTGCCAGTTGAACGAACGAATGGGTGAACTTCCCTACTTGCGTGGTGGGACGCGCTTTCCCATTTCTGCCCTCTGCCAGCCCCGCTCCACCGTGCCTCTGCAGCAAGTCTCTCTGCCCCGGCTTACCGAGCGCGCATCCCGGGGCTGCCGCGGCACCACCGCGAGATCCCGCACCAGCGTTCCTCAGTCGCTGCTGTCTCCCTGTCTCCTTCCCCCTAAGACCCTGCTCAAGGGACAAAACTATGGCACCACGTCTCTCCCCCGTGACCCATCGTGGTGCCACAAAACCTCCAGCAGGGGGCAGCCCTTCTCTGAGCCCCTTCCTTTGGAAAGTCACCTGGGCGTGGTAAATTGGCATTTAACAGCTGAGAAAAAGACCCACACGTCACTAATGTAATAACCCAGTGATGAACACGAGGCCAGAAGCGTGACGCGTAACTGTGTTCTCTCAGTCACAGAAGATCTTATCAGACGGAATGCCGAGCACAATGACTGTGTGATCTTCTCCCTGGAGGAGCTCTCTTTGCATCAGCAAGAGATAGAAAGGCTAGAACATATTGACAAATGGTGTCGGGATTTGAAAATCCTCTACCTTCAGAACAATCTCATCGGGAAGATCGGTAAGTGTTCAGGCCTCTGTTCTCGTGGTTTCTTGGACACCGTGGGATGGGAGAACTTGGGAGAGGCAGTGTGATTCTCAGAGGCTGAGAGAGAATGGCCCAGGGAAGAGACACAGCCGGCTCTCAGGGTACGTTCCTGAACCTTGCTGTGGGTGGTCAGTCTCCCTGGCCCGAGGGATCTCCATCTAGGAGGCGGGGGGACATTAAAGGCGGGGGCACATTCGTTGCCTTGCTTGTTTTTGAAAAAGTTTGCAAGAGAGGAGGGGACACAGTCCTGGCACCTGTGCTGGTTTTATATCCCTGTACAAAGCTGAGAGGGTTTTGTGGGAACTGAGTGAGCCCTTCACAGGCTACCGCAGCCTGGGATAGCTAGTTCTGCCTGGTGCGTCGTGAATGTTTATTCACAAGGGAGGCTTTGTGCTCAGAGTCAGGTACCAAGGGACTTCGATAACCACACCTTTGTTTACTGCTCCCATTTGGAAAGAAATGAAAGGTAAATATAGAAGTCAGGCGGATGAAGATCAAAATATCAGCATCATCACAGACAAAACTCTTTAGAAAATGTGGCTGAGACTGGGCAGCTTCGTGGCCTCCCACCAATCATGTGCAGAAGGAGACACCTGCAGGCTTCCCCGACCTGGGCGGGGCCCTCAGCTTGCGGTGGCAGCCAGAGGAGACCCTGTGCCTCCACTGCAGGGAGGCCCCGGAAGCCAGGAGAGAGGGCTGGCCAGGGTTTGGGCATCTGCTCCTCCCAGTTCACCCATGGGTTGAGCCAGTCCTCCCAGCCGCGCCCGGACAATAACGGGTTAACAGGCACAGAGCGGGAGGCCTGTGGAGTCCTTCGACCGGGGGGCCTGCCACAGGGGAACAGGAGCAGCGTCCCCTTACGCTCAGAAGAACACCGGCGTCAGGTGGGGGTCAGAGCAGGCACAGGCCTTGACGTCAGGTAGACCTGGGTTTGAGCCCCGCCTCTGCCACTTAGAAATGGAAAGGAGGCAAGATGGGTGCGTTGTCCGAGGCTTAGTCTCGCCACCTGTGAAACAGACAGGGCCACACCTAACAAACAGCAGTGGTCCAAGGACTACGTGAAACGATGCAGGTAGCTCGTGGGGTAAATGACACCCGCTGCCATTATTAACATTGTTACTGACCCCGGGGTGCCGCAGGCCAGGCCAGCGATGGCCAGAGCAGACGGGAGAACCCCAAGCAGAGTCGGAGGAGAAGGCTTGGGGTCACGGTTGGCAGGGCCAAGTGAACGCGACCCCTGTGGCTTGCGGCGCTGGAACTCAGAGGTCAGCTTCTAAGCCACAGCTTAACTTTTCTCTGTGATGTGCAGGGGTCCTCAACAGGGGCACGTGGCCACGCTTGGAGACGTTTTTGGCGGTCCGAAGTGTGCGTGTGTGTTGGGCAGGGGGTGGGGGCGGCCAAGTCAAGCTGCGTGCGGAGGCCAGGACGGTACTGCACAGGACAGTTACCGGGCCTGACAGGTCGGCGTGGCTGCTGTGGAGCAACCCTGGCTGACGTGGTCGCCTCTGGTTTGGTGGATCATTCCAAACGCTGTAAGGTTCCAAGACCCCTAGAATTTGCATTCTTTGCAGGAGGGAAGATTTGTAAGAGTTCTTTATGTTTCTCTGCAAAGTTATTTTCAGCATCTTTGACTTTACCAGAAATTCGAAACTGTGGCGCATGGCTCCATGAAAAGGCTGTTTCTGACAACCACCAGCGTCACTCGGGCCATGGGAGGCTGTCCTCCTCACACAGCTCTGGAGCTCCCGCAGTTCTCATCTGCGCAGCTGGGCCCGTCACAATGACTAATTAGCAGCACAGTATTTCGGTCCTTTCCAGAGCTCGAGAGGGCTTACATTCTTGCTTCCAAAGTATGCTTCAATTGAACACCCTTTTAAGTTGCAACAATGGGGTTTTTCAGGGCCACCCTACCCACAGGCGCTCAGGTGCTCATTTGGGTACAACTATTTCTCTTGGACTCCGGCTAGCTCTTGCGCCCTGGAGGTGGCCCTGGGGGTGGGGGGACGTCTGCAAAAACAGTTGTCCCTCCTGAGCTCTTTTGCTCACCAGGTGGGCTTGGGGGGAAGGCTTTGTGTGGGTCCAGGAGGGAGCTGAGGACCCTCCTGGGCTCAGGCCTCACCCCAGACCTCCGGACCCATAACCTGTGGGCGTGGGCTCCCAGTGTCTGCATCTGTAATGACCTCCAGCGAGCCGTAGGCCTGGGCAGAGCCGGAGCCCCAGAGCTGCTTGAACTGGGGAGGGGCAGGTCTGCAGCAGCTTCCAGGGCGGCTTGGGCCAGAATGCGCAGACTCCCTCCCTGCTGCCCAAGAGGCTCTCTGCGTTTTGACTTATGCACAGTAAAGTTTTCTCTCCTGACCCTTTTGGCCCATTGTTCTTCAGTTAACTTAGGACATCCTTCCAGAACAAATCTTTACTTTACTTTTCCACCAGATGACTCTTTTAACATTTAGAGGGTTGTATATATAACCAGTGTGGGGAAAGAAGAGGTATTATTCGATTGTGGGCTGGCAAAATTAACGACGTGAACTTCGGGTATTTTTGTTCAGAATGCAGACTAGGCATTCTTGTCTATCAAAATCCTTGGCACTCAGAGCTCGACAAATCTGTTGACTCTCGAATGCTCAGATGTTGCCTAGAGAATCTTCACTGAACGTCAGCATTACTTAGGATAATCTACCCGCTGAGAGACACTTCAGTAATTTTTTCTAAAATTCTCGTTTTGAAAAAATGAGTCAACAGAGACTTACAGAGGAAAACTGTTATTGTTGGGTCTATGGCAACATATATTTTGTAGATTTTAAGTGAAATGGAATGATAAGGGTGATGATTAGAAGTAATCCTATTTGATCTTTATCATATCCCTGAAAAAATGGGCAGGGGAATCCTCCTTTAAGTGGGGCTGCCCAAGCACACATTTCTGAGTAGTGTTTTTACGCTCATGTCCTCTGAGAAAGGACTGCTCTATCAAGGTGTGGTGCAGTGATTTACCATCAAGCTCTGGAGTCAAATTTTCTGGCTCTACCACTTAATCTTGAGCAAATGTATCAATTCTTCACATCTAAGAATTCTCATTTGCAACAGGGAGAGAATAATGGAGTTTTTACCATATAGGCTTATTATGAGGATTAATGACATAATATATGCAAAACGCTTTGAACGTTACATGGCACGCAATAAGCAACGTTAGCTCTGGTGTTAGCTGTTTGTAAAAGGCCCCATCCTACACTGATTTCTTGACTTACTTATGGTTGTTGTTTTGCCTATGTGGGTTTTTGTATTTATTAAAAATGATAATCCTGTATCAGCATGACTTGGGCTTCAAGTAAAGGAAAATTCAATGCGGTGTGGCTTTCTAGTAAGGAAATCTAGTATCTTACCCAACGATTAGTCTAAAGATAGGGCAGGCCTCACCTCTTGGTTGCTCGATCCCTTCCCTCTGCTCTGCCAGCCACAGTGGGCTTTGTCTTAGCGCTGGCCCCGTCCTGGCTGCAAGATGACTGCGAGTGTCAGGAGGGATACTACTTCCTTCCGTCTTTCTTTCTTTTTTTAAAACACTCAACAGAAAAAGAGAAAGGAAATGCCCAAGCATGAACTATAGATCCTGCCCGTTCATCTGGTTGGGAGCACTTGGCATGCCTGTCCTCTCCCGCGTCACGTGGTTGCCAGGAGTGTTGACTCAAGCCTGAGACCCTGAGCTGTCACTAGCAGGGGACATGGGCTTGCCGTGCACCGGCCCAGCTTGGTCAAGCCTTAGCCCCTGGAGGTGGGGCCGCGGAGAAACGAGCAGATTGGCTTCCACTGGGACGGATGGAGGATTGGTGGATGGTGCATAGCCAACCAACAGTGTTTGGGGTACAGGCGTAGATTTGAAAACCCAGCGTGGTTTTGATAAGCATAACCATTCTTAGATTCTCTTTATCACCTTTACAATAGCGTATGTAACATAATGTCTTTTATCTTGAAGGTTAATTGCGTTGTTTGTATATTTCAGAAAATGTTAGCAAGCTCAAGAAACTTGAATATTTGAATTTAGCTTTAAACAACATTGAAAAAATTGAAAATCTGGAAGGTAAGAATTTTCTTCTTATTTTGCAAATTAAAATTGCAACTCAAAATTTGATGTAAACAATATTGCTTAAACAATATAGTCTCCCATTTTGTGGGCTTTTGTATCAGCTTTCTTGATGGCGTCCTTTGGGGCACAATTATTCTCTTTAAATAAGAGCTTTACTGAGGTTTAATTGATGAACAAAAACTGGCACATACTCCGTGCACACGATTTGATGAATTTGGACAGGGGCCCACGCTTGTGAAGCCATCAGCGGGATCAGCCCTCATAGACACACCCCTCACCTCTGCTCTCTTGGAACTCCCCTGGGACTTCTTTTAAATATATTTTGGCTGCACCAGATTGATCCTCTGTGCCTTTTAACCTGCATTCCTTACATAAACCTCCTTCTCTTGTTCTGCATCCCAGAAGGTTTCCTGTTTTCCTTGGCAGGCTTCTGTTTCGTGCTGTTACTTTTCTCGAGGTGTCCGGTAACACTTGGTGTCTGTTCATGCTCACACAGGATTTGGTTGATCCGATGGCCGCTGCGGGCTCTGCCGCAGCCGTGAGGTTGGGTTTCCACGCCCAGCGGGCTGGGCTGCTGCGGGCTCTGCGCGGGGCAGGCGCGGGGCTGGCTGCCTGCGGGGGCTGCAGTGCGGCAGGCAGGCGGTTCTGCCCACCTCACCCCATCTGCCAAGAGCCAACATCGGGAGGATTTCCCTTAGGTTACAGTCTCAGCCTATTTACCTCCTAGTGCAGAAATCGACATTTCAGTGACTATCAAAGTTCATCCGCAAAGACATAAATATTCATCAGACATTTTGAGTTTCCATCCTCAACACCTAGTCTGCCGTCACCGCCGAAGCCCCCAAGCCCGCGTCGGTGCTGGAGCTGAGCTGATTCTTCTGTATTAGAAATCGGGTCCTCGCGCTCTCCCAGCTACCACCCTACAGCCCTCGTACCATGTTCTCATAGAAATGGCATGATAAAATTTACTCAGTATCCACGGTTTGTGGCAGTTAAATATCAGTCTCAGATGTCAGGGAATCATGAACACTCTCACTCTCAGCTGGCATGTCCACGGCTTGCTATTTTTAAGAAAGTATCTCAAAGGACAGGGAACATTCTATTTTTGCTGTATGTTTTGGTCATCTGCCACTAGAGGGCAGCATTGCCACTATTGTCATTTTGGGCTTTGGGAGCCAAGTCCTGCTGGGGCTGTAGCCTGGATGCTTCTCCCGTGTGGAGCTCCGCTTCCCAGCTCTGATAGGGGTGCATTGGCCGCACGGTGGTTTGAGGCTGTGGATGGGGGGGATGAGCGTCTTATCTCCTGGCAAATGTGCACTTTTTTTTAATGTTAAAGGTGAGAGAGGGGGAAGGTGGATTCACACACTCTATTTGAGTAAATCACAATATAATTTTATTTTTTAAAAGATTTTATTTATTTATTTTTAGACAGAGGGGAAGGGCGGGAGAGAGTGGGAGAGAAATGTCTATATGTGGTTACCTCTCCTGTGCCCCCTACTGGGGACATGACCTGGCCTGCAACCCAGGCATGTGCTCTGACTGGGAATCAAACCAGCGACCCTTTGGTTCTCAGGTTGGCGCTCAGTCCACTGAGCCACACCAGCCAGGGCTATAATTTTAAACATAAGAGGTATTTTTGTTTGTTTAGCTGGATGGCAAAAAATAGCTAGTATCCTTTTTTCTTTTTCCCTGTTGTGATCACTGGGCTAGCATAAAGTACCTTCTTTTTCCACCCCTCCTCCTCACCCACCCCGAACTAGAAGGAGAGGTGGGGCCCCGACTAGTGTGAGCTCTCCCTCTTGGGAAGTCAGTGCTGTTGAATTCGATGATCTTCAGACCCCCCAGGTCACTGAGCGGGACCGTCACAGTACAGGAGGCAGAGGGCGGGACTCCGTTGGAGGAAGAAGTGCCTAACTCCAAAGTCGAGGAGGAATGAGCCTGGCTCGTTCAGCAGGAACTGTTCTTTAGGATGGCAAATGTGGTTTAATTTCTAATGTGCGGGCTGAGTAGAAGAAAAATTAAGAATTCATCACTCTGAAAAATATGATGAACATTTGGAGGGTCCTTCATCTACAGCATCACAGCGAGATCCAAAAATACATGAATTTTCGAACTTGTTGGAGTCTTTCAAATGTCAGGCTGTTCTTATAGGAAAGAAAAACATACTTGAAATGCCTCCCAGAATCTGTCAAAGGGAACTAGGAAATACCCGGTAACCTGTATCTTAAGTTAGATTGCCCCAAATATATCTTTCACGTTTCATACAATCCATCTAACATTTTTTTCCAATGCAAAACAAACACACAGACATAGAGACGTGAACTTAATTATATTTATATACATGTGTAGTTTCATATTCATTCTTCATATAGTGGCTGAGACCACATTTTTATAATTTAATGACCGAATTACCAAATATATTGATGTGTTTTAAATAATCCTTATTGTTTGGTGCTCCAAGTGTTTTTAATTATGTTGGCTTTTGTGAACAAAACTCTTCTGAACAGCTTTGTACAAATTACCTGTTTGAAGTTGATGTATCCAAATGAAATCCTGGATTCAGGGGAAAAAAATTTAAAAGCCTATTTTATGTATTGTCAGATTGAATGCTGAAAAATATAATTGTCTTATGGGCTTAACAATTTTTTTTTTAAATTGTCCCTATTGTTGCTAGTTTAATAGAAATAACAATTTTGTTGTCCTTTTTCATAGAGATGATTGTGTTTGAAGCTGTGAAGTTATGAATGTCCTTCACCTGGGTGGTAGAATCTAGAATGTATAAGAGTGTTTATTTGTTCTTGTGCATTTTGGATATTCATTTCTTTCATGATTAGTATGTTTACTGTAGTAACACAATACGTGGTTTAAAAAGCCCAAGGGTGCTCCATGCTTTTGCTGGAGAACAGCGGTCTTCCCTTTTGCCCTCACGCCCGTAAGTCCTGCCCCTGGAGGTGGCCCCGTTCCCTCCGCTACACGTGCTCGGATGGGGCTTTATGGCTCTTCCTCGACAGCCTCACTGGGGCCTCGTCTGTTGTCCTCCTGGTGTGGGAGGTGCGGACGTGCCCTCTCACACCACCCCAGGGCTCTCTGTTCCCTTCCACCCGCCTGCTTATATTTTCTGGTCACACAATGGGATAGCCTGGTGAGATACGGGGCGTGGACCCACGTATGGGGACCGGTGTTTTGCATGAACGCCCTGCTGGGGGAGACGGGACACTCCCCCGTGCCGACCCCCATCCAGCCGCTGGCCTTTCCTCCTCCTCCCGCCTCCTCCCGCCTTCCGCCGGCTGGTCTGGCCCTCGCAGGCCTTGCTCTGAACCGCAGGCAGGCCTGTGCGGGCCCGGCCGTCCGCTGCGTGTGGCCGCGCTGCTTGGACTCATAGACCCCAGTTGTACTCCTTGTGGATACCTCTGCAGGGCTGCCTTTCTCAAGCCTTTGGCTGGCGAATTTTACAGTGATGATGACGGCGATGAGGATGTGTTAGTAGCAAGTAGCTCACGTTGGCAACGAGACCTTCTAACAACCCATGTAAAGAGGCTTTTCTGCTGGCAGACCTGCATTCAGCGCCCAATGCCCCATGTCACAGCTGTGGGAACCTTGTTAATTCCTTAGCTCATTCGCCTTAGAGCTCCAGTGACGCACTGCAGCAAAGAAAACGACTCCAAAGCTTCCTGCCTGAAAGCAACTTACCTTCACCCCCCACTGTTTTGTGGGTCAGGAGTCGGGAGGAGCTTGGTTGGGAGGTTCCTCTCTGGTCCTGCCATCAGCTGGGGGCTGCTTTGTTAGAGGGTCCACCTCCAAGACGGCTTCTTTGCTGCCTTTGTCACCACGCTGAGCTGGCACAGGTAGTCCCCCATGGGACGAACTCCTTAAAATTCCAATGCCCATCTCTTTTCCCCCTTTCTCTGTATTAGACACAAGGTGAAATACCATGGACTTCCCCGCGCCCCACCGCCACTTCATTCTAAAGACCTGGCTCAGTCACTTGTACAGAGCAGGTACCCAGTAACCCCTGCGTGGGTGGATGACTGCAGGGTGAGGGCCTACATCTGGAAGCGCTAAAGTGGGACTGACCTAGTGGAAGAGACTGGTTTGGGATATGACTAGACAGGAGGAAAACGTGGAATTCTGGACAGGGCGGATCGGGTGCCAGAATGAAGAAAGGGTAACGGGGAGAGAACACTGCCCTTGAATGGAAGTGGTTCCACCGTAGAGACCTCAGAAATGAGAAAACTTTGCCACAGGTGACATGCGGAGCTGTGAGCCACTCTGAATCAAGTTCATTTTGGTGAGCTTCATATAAGATATCAGGAACCACAACAACAATGGCAGAGCAGCAGTAGGTGGCCGGGAAGCACGAGGAGGGTGGAGTGCAGAACAAGGTGGAGATGAGTTTCAGCTGGAGATGCGTCAAAAGGCACTGAAGGCTGTAAAACCTGCCATCCAGCCCTGCAGGCATGAGCCAGTCGCAGGGACGGACAGCTGAGCCTGCCCCCAGAGGCCCCCCAGAGGCTGCTGTATGAGCCAGGCCAACTCCTCCTCAGTTCGCAGGAAGAAACCGCAAACTCTCTGCTGGTGCCACAGCCAGCGTCCTCCTTTCCCTCGGGGCACATTGTCCAAGAGCCACGTGACAGTCACAAGTGTGCTCATTGGGCTCTTTTTTTCTTTTTCTTTCTTTTAAGATTTTATTAGACAGAGGGGCAAGGAGGGAGAAAGAGAGGGAGAGAAACATCAACGTGTGGTTGCCTCTCTTGTGCCCACCACAGGGGACCTGGCCCGCAACCCAGGCATGTGCCCTGACTGGGAATTGAACCAGTGACCCTTTGGTTCACAGGCTGGTGCTCAATCCACTGAGCCACACCAGCCAGGGCTCATGGAGCTCTTTCCCATTCTAGTGGATGTTAACTGAAGCTCTCTAGATGGAAGGCACTGTGCTAAGTAAATACTTTACTCAAATCATCTCATATCATATTCACAACAGCCCCTGCCCCGGGTACCAATGCTGCTCTACTTCTACAGATGAGAAAGCTGAGACTTGTAACGTTTCCAAGGTCACACAGCAAGGGTGTGACAGGGACAGGATTTGCTAAGCAGCACAAGCGGTCGGCAGACTTAAAATATGGCAACTGTTACTTCTGTTATGTGCTATTGCACGCATTTTATTACCAATGTGATTTTTTCTTTGTTTTCATTTCTCTCGACAGGCTGCGAGGAACTGGCAAAACTTGACTTGACTGTCAATTTCATTGGAGAGCTGAGCAGCGTTAAAGCCCTACAGCACAATATCCACCTGAAGGAGCTCTTCCTCATGGGGAACCCCTGTGCCGACTTTGATGGCTACCGGCAGTTCGTGGTGGCAACTCTTCAGCAATTAAAGGTATGCTTACTTCAGTGACGCAGAGATCTCCGAACAAATGGCAGCTCACAACTACAGCAATTCCCGATTTATTCACAGTGTTGTCAGGAAATGTGTTGCTTCAGAGAGTGATATATTCCAGAAAAATAAAAAAACCAATCCTTTGACTGAGCCTTTATAAAATTGTTTTAATTGCTTCCCTAAATCTCTGAAAAAGTAAATTGCATACTTTTCTCCCTCATTCAGAATACACAGAGCTTAATTTAACTACTTTTTTTGTGTGTGTGATAAATTGAAATAGGTGTTACAAAGAGCATTCATCACTACTAATAGCTTGGGGCTTTTGAGGTGGCTACAGTGACATATACCTTTGGCTTTCCTAGTCTTAAACTCTTGTGTTTTTATAACTTTTATAATTATCATTTTATTATTGCTTTCTGTTGACTCGTTCTCTCTGCCCGCGGTTCTCAGACGTTGTAGGTATTGGAATACTTGGCCGGCATTTGCCCGCCCCTCCCCCAGAGCTTCTGATGCAGTGGGTCTGACGTGGTTGGTCCTGCGCCCTCATCTGAGAACCAGCGCTCTCTCTGTGTTCACCTCCTCTGCTCTCTCCCCCCTTATCTGATGTTTTTGGAACTAGGCAGGATTTTCTAGAGAAATCATACGCCTGAGCATATGTAAGAAATAATGTTGATTTCCATGCAATTCCAAGAGTTCCCGACCTGCAAGGGAGCCCTGTGCTTCTTCTGCACAGAGAGAATGCACAGATGCATTGACTCTCTGATAGGCATTTTCTTCAATTCTTAGAGGACGTTTGTTTATAGACTGCTGTGTTCTGTGTAGCTGAGATTTCTAGGTTAATGGGACACATTTCTCCTCACGTAGCATTTCTTTAGGAGAATGAGTGACTCAGGTAATTGAATCTAGGATGTAGGTTTAGAATAAATGAGAAATGGGCTCAAACAGAATCCGGGTTGATCCTCATTGTACAATGACTTCCTGGAAGACGAACTGACGATGACCAGAATATCACAGGCACGGTCCCTGCCGTATCGTGCTGTGAGCCACTTCCCTGGGAAGGTGCGGGGCGGCCCAGCCGAACCCGCGTCGGTGCCGCAGTGGTCCCGCTAGCAGTCTGTGAGCGCCACAGACAGGCGCCTGGACCCCAGGCCAGGCTGTGCCAGGTGCTTTGGGCGCGACCTCCCTGACCCTCCTGGACCCCAGCAGGGAGATGACCAGCGCACTCGGAGATGAGGCAGGCAGGGCTCAGAGAGTCGGTGGCCCTCATTTAAGCTGACACACCTGGCAGGTGGCTCAGGTGGGATTGGAACCTAAAAGACCACTGTTCGCACTGCAGCCGTTCCCCTTGCTTTCCTCCGGGTTGATGCACAGGCTTTGGAGCAAGGCGTCCCTTTCACGGAGCCTGCTCCGACTCAGCTCTTACACCGGGCGGCAGCCTCCCTTTGAAAAACAGTGTTCATAGGTGTGTTTACTGGTATTTAAAAATAGGCTGATCAACTTTAGAATCTTCGTCACCGTTTATTTCTTTGAAAGCTGTGATCTGCTAGAAAGGAATCGTGTTAACAGGTGTATCATTTCCCCAGGGCTGCCGTAACGAAGTCCCCCAGACTGGGGGCCTCAAACACCGGAACTCTGTTGTCTCCTAGTTCTGGAGGCTAGAAGTTCAAGATCGAGGCGTCAGCAGGGTTGGTCCCCTTTGAGGGCTGTGGGGGAGAATCTGTCCCCTGCCCCCCTCCTAGCTGCTGGGGGTGGCGGGCAGCCTTGGGTGTTCCTTGGCTCAGAGAAGCATCATTTCCGGCTCTGCCCCCACCTTCATGTGGCGTTCTCCTTGGGCCTCCGTCCTTGCACACGGCACTCACTCTTGTTATAAGGACGCTAGTCATACTGGATTAGGGGCCCACCCTACTCCAGGATAACCTCACCTTAACCGATGCGTCTGCAATGACTATTTCCAGATAAGGTCACTTTTGGAGGTATTGGGGTTAGGACTTTAACTATTTTAAGGGGAGACATAGTTTAACTCGTAACAACAAAGTAGTTATTTAGACAGACACACGGAAGAAGTGTGAAGAGACTCAGCCCTTTCCAAGGGTCCTCCTCTGTGTGGCTGAGCCAGTCCAGTTGACAAGGGGACAGACACGGTAACGTAGTGGCCCAAGTTTGGTAGCAGGCAGAGTCGTGTGTGACGCACGTGTCCCCTAGCTCTCAGGGACATGTATCATTTTCCTAATCTGTATTGGGATAATAATTCTTACTTTAAAAGAGTTCTGTGAGGCTTTCAATAGATCTTCTTTTCTTTTTCTCTTTGCCACAGCACCTGTTCAATGGTTATCAATAAGCGTGGATACTCTACCTCTGTGTTTCAAGAGTCCTAAATAAAGGCCAAGAAATGCGTATTATAGTGCAAAACTTAAAACTTAATCTCTCAGTTCATTAGGCTGTCTAAGCGCAGGTGTGATTTTGGCTTGAAGGAAACTTGGGCCAGTTTCAAAGACTACCTAATGGGAGTCGTTAAATAAATTGAAATCCAGTAAGAAGACCCCTAGGACAGGTGCTGACAGACGTGTGGCACAGTCCCAAAGTTGTTATTAGTTTCCAATACAAGCTTTTCTGTCTCCTGTCTGTATAGTGATGGGGGTTCATTTATCATAATCTTTTAGAAATGAGAGGTCTAAATTAAATCAATATTTACTTAACCCAAAGTATAAGGAAAGATACACACACACATAATTACACACATGCCCATGCATTTTTAAAATAAATCCTTAAATCCTTGTGTCCCAGATACCAGTGAGAGAATAGCACCTTGCTTCCCAATATTTGTCAAAATTCCAATGGAAGAAGTTATATATATTCAGAATTCTCCAAACTGTTTAGACCTTAGCTCTAGGTTGAAGTAGGTTAATTTAATAAAAAGGGAAGGGGGCTAAGTACTTGGACTGCCATGACTTACCCGCTTAAGGAATAGGTTGCAGTAAGTTGGATTTTACCACTGTGGCCTCGTCCTGCCCTGGAGGGTGCTGGAAGGGACGGCTCTACGAAGTCCGCTGCTCTGTGGACAATGTGCGACGGGTCTGCAGATCTCCACGGCGAAGCTCTACTTCAGAAATGGCGTTTTAGAAATAAATATTAAGGGAAAGCTGAAAAGTAGTATATTTTCTCATGAAAGACAACACAAGTCACGTAACTGGTCATGTTTTCCTGTTTAGCTTTGGCTGCCGGGAAGCTCGGAGCCACATCTGCAGCCCACCTACAGCAGCCCCGTGGGTCCTGTGACCAAGAGCATAGCTTAAGTTATTTTTTTCCAAATTTCAACATTGTTATTTTGATATACAATGTAACCGATCCTGATCGTTCTTTAAATTTATATTTTTTTCAACCTGTGTGCACTTTTGTCCTTTGTATTAGCTTCCGATTGCTGGGGTAACGAATTACCATAAACCCGGTGGCCTCAGGCAATGCACATTTGTACTCCCACAGTTCTAGACGTCAGAAGTCTAGACGGGTACGGGCAGGGCTGCGTTCCCCGCGGGCCGCGGCGGAAGGTGTGTTCCCTGCCTGTGTCCGCGTCTGCGGGCGCCTGCGCTTTTAAGACCATGGATCCTTCCTTCTTGCTCCAAGCCAGCAGTGTAGCCCCTGCAGACCTCTCCCTGAGTCTGACCCTGGCACCTCTGCCTTCTCCTTCCCTTAAAGGATCCTTGGGGTTACATCGGGCCCGCCCAGATAATCTGGGTAATCTCCCCATCTCAAAACCCTTACTTTAATCACATCTGCAAAGCCCCTTTTGCCATGTAAAGTAATAATTACGGGATAGAACATGTCTGTTCTTGGGAGGAGAGGACATTTTTCAATACTTTATAAATACTTCCCCTCTTTCTGTAGAATGAGGCTGGGTAAATAAACAGGCATCTATTTATTTTTTTTCAAGATTTTTATTAGTTAACTTCTAGAGAGAGGAGAAAGGAAGGAGAAAGAGAGGCAGGGAAACATCAATGTGTGAGAGATACCTCAATCAGTAGAGAAACATCGATATGCAAGAGATGTATTGATCAGTTGCCTCTTGCACACCCCCCTGGGTGTGCAAGGATTTAAGGATTTACTTTACTGGGGACCTGGCCCCTAACCCAGGCATGTGCCCTGACTAGGAATCAAACCAGTGACCTTTCCGTTCACAGGCCGGCACTCAATCCATTGAGCCACACCAGCCAGGGCAATACATAGGTATCTTTAAACTGGTAGCTTTGAAACTGTAGATTTTAGGTTGGTGTTTATATATTTGAATATTTCAACTTGGAAAATCACTATAAACATACCAGTGTAAACAGTGACCATAGCAATCAATGGTACACTCTGTGTCTCTTGGAAGAGGTAGAACATGAGCTCATGTGTATTAGAGCTCAGTTTTGTGTAATGTGCAATACAAGGCCCTTTCTTGTAGAGAACATTTGGGAAGGCTCACTGTTATACTTTAGAGCTGTAGTTTGACTTGGGGCATTGAAATCCTTGAAATAGTGAGTAGTTACAGAATTCATATACTCATATTTTGAGAGCTTGTCATTAATCATCGGTTTCAACAGAAGTCCTACTTATTATTACACAGTTTATAAACTGCATTGATTGTATGAAACAAACATTGACTTCGATCAAAGCTTCTGATGTTTCCCATATCATTATGGTGCATTATTTATTATTTCTAAGTTTGAAATATCCCAATCAAAGTCAACTTGCGGCCAATTCAAATGGCAGCTCTTGAGTAATTGCTCTCTGTCGGTTGTTTTTTATTCAAGTGGCTGGATGGTAAAGAAATAGAACGTTCCGAAAGGATTCAGGCATTACAGAATTTTCCAGTAATTGAACGACAAATCAGAGAGCAGGAGAGAGCTTACTGCCTCTTACGAGCCAAAGACAAGCAAGAGGCTCAGAGGAAGCTTCAAGAAGAGCATGAGAACAAAGGGAAGGAAAGTCGCCCAGGCCTTGACGGACGCTCGGACACTGACGTCAGTGCTTCTCCGTATGTAAATTATTAGTTTACTTTTGCAGTAACTTTTGTTAAAAGCAACCAGCCACATTCTTTTCCTGAGGTATTCACAGTGTCACTGGTATTCCAGATGATTAATGTGAAGAATATATTATTATGTGAATTTAGGGGGACCGGGAGGCTGTGAGCATCCCATTGTTTGTGACAATCCCATGAGGCTTTCTTCCCTTAGGAAGTTTAGCCTTTCCAAACTAGCAATTTAAATTTGCATTTAAACTTTCCCTCAGACAGAATCTGTCCGAAAGATGCCCAGTAGAGAAAAATGAACAGGTGTATGAGACTTTGACTTGTAGACTAGGGGTATTTTAGATAAGTTTAATGCAAATGACATTATAATAAATTGCATACTTTTGATTGCACCATAAAATGTTTTCTTTTGTGAATTATATAATGAATACATTTTTAAGTGATTAATAAGCATTTACTGGTGTTTTTTTGCAAATACGAATTATTTGTTCTTGTTCAAGTGAATTGCAACTATGGTCAGTTGATTTGATTCCATAGAGTAAAAGCTTTAAATATTTTGATAACAGAACCTCTTAAGTTGAGAAAATAGTGATTATAAAATTTTTGGACATACATAAATGTTAAAAAAAAAACATAGGCAGCTATAGCTCCACCATCCAGACTTAATAAATGTCACTAGTTTGCATGTTTGTTTGGGGTCTCTTTTAAAATAAGAAATGAAGCCCCCTAAGGATTCCTCCCACATCCCGTCCCTCCTGCCGTCCCCAGTGATGTCTACCGGCTGCAGTCAGTACACACTTCATGTATGTTGCACCCACCCCTATTTTTAATATGTTAACTATGTAATTATGCCTCCTTACACACGTGTCATTTGGGGTGTGTGTGTGTGTGTGTGTGTGTGTTTTAGCATGAGTGCTTGTCTTCCTACTGCTTCACTTTTCAGTCAACATTATGTTTCTGAGATTGAGGACACATGGAACTTGTTCATTCATTCTGACTGTGGAATAGCATTGCATTGGGTGAATAAGTCACCGTGCACCCCAGCGGTGATACGGAAAACACCTAACAGCTAGGGCATCCCCGGCCCTGACGTTCAGAGGAGGCCCCGGCCCCGGCAGTGTGCGCGGCCCTCCCTGTGGCTGCCGCGGAAGGCCAGCCCGGGGCAGCCGCCCTGTGGGGGCCGGCGGGTCCTTCTCCCCCGTCCAGCTCCCCAGACAGAGCCGCACGCGCCTCCCCGTGCAGGCGTGCAGGCTTCTCCAGGGTATTCAGCAGTGACTTTGCCACATTGTCAATTATGAGCACCTTCTCAACTTTATAGGCATTAATTACCCAATTGCCTTCTAAAGTGTATTCATTTCTATGCATATAATCTTTGTCAGTACTAGATAACGTGATATTTTAAAACATCAGCCAATCAAGTTGGTTATTACATGGCACCTTATGTTTAATTTGAATTTATAGAATTACTAGTGAGCTGATTATGTCAGATATCTTCTGATACGTTTATTGTCTATTCAGGTATCTCCCATTTTGGTTCTACTCAGGTCCTCTGCCTATTTTAAATAAGTTGTAAGTTTTTTTTTTCTTATCGACTTACAGTTCTTCTGTATTCTGAATGCAGTTTCTTTAGTGGTTATATGGTCTGTAAATATCTTTTCCCAATATATGACTTCTTAATTTTAATAAGGGATTCTGCTTTATAGATTTCAAAAACATTCGTGTAGCTAAACTTACTTTTGTGCTCTGCGGCCTTGTTTAGAACATTCTTCGCTACCCCAGTATTGCTCTCCTGGAATTAATTTTTGGCCACAGTGTAGGGTAGTCACTAGCCATTTCCCATATGAGGAGCTACCTGTCTGCACCGTTTGCTAAGGCGCAGTTCTGCTCCCACTGACCTTTAACCCCGCCCTTCCCACATGCCCTCCGCTCGCAGATTCGTGGGCCCGCTCTGGCTCCCAGGCTGCCCCGGGGCACCTCCACAGGGTCTGAATCCCCATACCTTTATGCTAAATCTTGGTATTTGGTAGGAGATGGTCTCAGTTTTCAAAATCATCTCAGCTTTTCTTAAATTTTTCCTCTTTAGGATTTTAGAATCTGCTATTCAAATTCCCCTAAATCCACAGTGTAATTTTGATTGAAATTGCATTTAACTTATACATTAATTAGGGGAAAGTTGACGTCTTTGTGACATTGGTTCTTTTCATGCTGATCTTTTTTTACAATAGCTCCCTATTTATACCTTGGAGTCCTTCAGTAAAGTTTTGTAATTTCCTCTATAAAGGTCTCACACCATATTTTATTAGATTTATTTCTAAGTATCTTATAGAATGGAATTTTATTTATTTAAAAAAATTTTTAAATAGAGATTTTATTTATTTATTTTAGAGAGACAGGAAGGGAAGGAGAAAGAGATGGAGAGAAACATCAATGTGTGAGAGATACAGTGACTGGTTGCCTCTCACATGTTCTTATCTGGGGACATGGCCCACAGCCCAGGCATGTGCCCTGACTGGGAACCAAACCAGTGACTTTTTGGTCTGCAGGCTAGCACTCAATCCACTGAGCCATACCAGCCAGGGTTAGAATGGGATTTAAAACATAAACTGGTAATTGGTTCTTGCTGATATATAAAGAGACAAGTGATTTTTATATGCTGATATTGTGTTAAACAATCCTGCCAAACTTTTTAAAAAGACACAGTAGTTTCTGTAGATTATCCTATATTTTCTAGGTAGAAAAACATTTCTTTTCATAAATAGCAATGTTACTTTTTTTTGCACTCTTCCTACCTTTGCTCTATGTATTTTTAAGATTTTAATTTATTTTTAGAGAGAAGGGGAAAGGAGGGAGAAAGGGAGGGAGAGAAATATTTATGTGAGAGAGAAACATTGATCAGTTGCCTCTCACACGCTCCCAACCGGGGACCTGGCCAACAACCCCGGCCCGCCGCCTGACTGGGAATGGAACCAGTGACCTTTTGGCTCTCAGACGGGCCCTCAGTCCACGGAGCCACACCAGCCAGGTCTGCTCTTTGTTTTCTCTGTGGTGCTTGCTGAGCCCCCAGAATGGGGTGCAATAGCAGCAGTAAGACGGTGCCGGAACCTGTTCCTGACTTTAAGAAGGACGCTTCCAAAATTTATCCTAAAATATTATGTTTGCTGGGAGGTTTCGGTAGAGTTAAGTAAGCTTCCTTTTATTCCAACTTGATTAAGAGCTTTTATTATCTCAGAGTCCGGTTTTTATTAAATGCTTTCTCTGTTTCCATTGAGATAGCCATGTTTTTCTGTTAATGTGTTGAATCACATTAATAACTTTTCCAGCATTAAATCGTCCTTGAATTTCTAAAATAAACTCATTTTGTCCATGATATATTTTTAATGCATTGCTGCATTCATTTTGCTAATGTTTTAAATACTATTTAAATGTGTTTATGCTGTAATATCCCTTTTTCATTGTATTTTCCCTGGTGTTTCACATTGAAGTTATAATAGGCACATGCATTGAGTTGGGACTGCTCTCTATTCTTGGTTTATAAAAGTTTCCAGAAGCTTAAACTGATTCGTTCTGTACATTGTAGTAGAAGCATCTAGTTGGGTTTCTTAGAGGTGCCTACTTGCTCCCCACACGGGACTGGCTGTCCCTCAGCCATCAGCCCTTTCAGAACCTTGGTGTTCGGGAGGAGACTCATTGAAATAGTGAATCACCAGCGTAGCTGGGGAGGAGGAGGGGGCTGCTCCCTGTCAAGAAGAAAGACCGTGGCGGCTTGGGGCTGCCAGAAGGAGGGCCAAGCGTTTCCTGCCTTGACTAGACAGAGCCTGGTCCGACCTGGAGAGCTGAACGATGGGATGCAGCCCGGAACAGCGTGGAGCAGAGGGCTTGGGAGGGCGGGCGTAAGGCAAGTGCTTGCACCCAGACATTGGTCAGGAGCTGCGCCTGGGCTGCCTGGAAGGGGTGCCGCCCAGGAGAGTGGCAGCAATGAGGGCCTGGGGTGGACTGTCAATGGCAGAAGCTCCGGGATTATCACCAAGGACCAGCCAGGTCGTATATTGATCGCTCTGGCAGGGAGCAGTGTACTTGGAAGGCTCTAGCACTGTCTCCAGGAACCAGAGAATGTGCTCACAGGAGAACGCCAGTAACTGGGTGTCGGCCCCGGAGAGGGACCAACAGCCCCGGAATAACAGGGTCATTCTCACAAGGAATCTGGGCCTTGTTCTCCCCATCCCTCCTCACAGGCCCAAATTTCTAAAGTCAGGGGGAGGCTGGAGCGGCCCAGCGAGATGGGATACCTGTCCCTCCACCCACACCTGGGCTGGGCTTGAGCTGGATGAGGGGAGGGGGGTTTGGAGAGGGAGGGAAAGGCTTCGATTGGCGTGTAAGTCTGGAGTTTTGTTTAAACTGCAGACCTTTTAACCCTGGAAAGTGAGTGTCCGCTGAGATGGGACTGTGTTTGAACGTGCGTGTGGGATGTGCTCACGAGCGGGAAGGGGGTTCTGAGGGAGCAGATTTGAAGGGAGGGGTTGAAGAGCAGTTTTTTGTTCGTTTCCTAATGAGCTCAGTCTATTTCACCAACCAGCGATGTACATTTATAAGTATTTTGCCTTTGGAGGCTGATGTTATTTAGCTGATATTTCCAAAAAATTTTCTAAATACAATTATTTTTATGTTTCTTAAATCTTTTTATTTTTTTAGATAGAGAAAGGTAAAAGTAAACCAGTTAGTCACTTTCTAACAGAAACAAATTATTTTAAATGAGAATGGAACAAATTACTTCAGTTATAATCAGCTAGAATATTACAGAATATTAGATCTCCTAAATAGATTTTTTTTATACCATAAAGAACTATAGCTATATGGCAAAACATTTATTTTCAGTCATTTGCATTTTGTAGCTTATTAAACTCTCTAGTTGGACTTTATAATAAGTAAAGAATCTAAGCAGAATTTTACTCTGTGTTTTGGTTATACTATTTAAATTTCGTGTTCTAGTAATTTTGGTCCATCTCTTCAAAAAGTCCCTTATGTGAAGGTCAGCAAAATGGTCCTTTTGTCTCATCTCATTTCAGTCACAAAACAGCGAAGTCAAACATTTGAGTGTGAGTATGAGTGCTTACTATTTGCTGTGTTTGGTACTAAAGGGTGCCTGTGGATTTTTTCATTTGGTATCATTGGGCAACAGAGTGTCCATTCTAGGGCAGGTGAGAGGAGAGAGGCTATTCCCACGTTTCCTGTGGGGATGCGCTCTCTCTCTGCCAGGACACAATGTCCTAAAGGTCATGTTCTTGTCTGTCTGGACTAGGCTTGAATCTCTGGTAACTGGTACACAGAAGGTGCTCAATAAATATTTCTTGAATCCGTGTTGAACGGACACCAAACACCTCATAATCTGCCCATCCAATGCCACGTAGAGACATCATTTAATTTGTTGACAGTCCACGAAGCATGAGTAAAAGAGAAAACCCCGTACTCTTACCCTATAAAGCTATGGACTCAAGTTATCCATGAGGAATAGAGTTCATACCATGGACCATGGAGGACCTCACATGGGTCACTCAGGAATTTTGGCGCTAGAGAACCTGGAAATCATATGACCTACTTTTCCCATTGGAAAGATGCTCTGGGAGCAGTGTGGAGGGTAGGATTGAGGGGTGCGATACCAGAGAGGGGGTGACCGCTAAGGCTCCACAGCCCCTTACTTTTTCTGGATGTCAGAGCCCCCTGCAAAATATTGTAAAACACAACTTCCTGGGCCTCACCCAAATCTACTGAGCTAGACTCTCTTGTGGGAGCCCCAGAATCCGTACGTGTTATAAAGCTCCGCAGTGAGCCCGGAGCTTGAGCCCTTGAGTCGGATTCCTGCAACGTGCCTCCGGGTGCCGGAGGAGGAGGGCGCGCGCCGCGCTGTGGCAGCTGTCCCTGCAACGTGGCTCGGGTAAGCCCCGGCCCAGACGCGTCTGGCCGGGGTAGGAAGATAACACGGGGAAAACGTGTAAGGTATTTAGGGGCTGCACTAAGGACGAAGCTCACGCGTCCATCTTATGTGCGCGGCACCTTTTGGTTCTTTCCCAGCCCGACTTCTGCAGAGAGCAAAGACCCGCTGCAGGCTCCAGGAACACAGGAAAGGGACCAAAACCCAAAGAAGTTAGATGACAGTGAAGATGACCTGGAATTCTGGAATAAACCCTCCTTGTTTACTCCTGAGTCTAGATTGGAAACTCTTAGACATATCGAAAAACAACGAAAAGACCAAGAAAAATTAAGGTATTCCATTTTTTCCTATCATTGAGAGTCAACGAACACTCTTTTAGGGACTATGTTTTTATGGTTGCGCATTATTTTACTTACGATCTGTGTTCAGCCTTTGTTAGCCATCATATGTACGCTTTGGATTTTTTTTTTTTATGTTCAGCTTTTTGTTGAACTGTATCCACTAACATTTATTAATGTCAAATAACCTTCTTTAGAATGTCATGAATTAATGGCACTTTAGGTAGGGTTTTGTTTGTATGTCTTTAGTTTTGTAACCACTTTAAATGTGTTGAGTAACAGTAGGGCCTGGGTTAGAGATACAGGTTATCAAGGGACCGAGAAAAAGGCCACTTTGTGCAATGAATGAGTTCCTTTTAATTTGCAGAATCAATAATTAGAAATTAGTTCCATTAGGCGTTATATTTTTCCCTAATACAATTCTCTTGGACATTTAATGGTATGCTTTCACTTTCAAATTATTTTGATATAATTCGTTAGCAGCTAGAATGCTTAAGCTATTATTTTCAGAGTTGCTTTTTAAAAGATAGGCTCTGCATCATTCCATTTCATGTTGCTGCTTAAGTCTACTGCGTATAATGTATCACTTATGGGAACACTTAAAATTCATGAGCTCAGGAGTGTGATCAATTATCTCTGAAATACTGTGCAAAACCAAAAGGGTAACAAAGCAATTAGCAATCTCTGCTGCTTTCATAACATTTTCTTCATTAACTAGATAGACAGGGAAGTGCAGCAATGAGAATCGGATTTTGTCTAAAATACTTGTTTATAAAATTTGGTGATTTACACACTGATAAGCCACTCAGTGCTTTGGGAAGAATATTGAGTAATGTCAGAGGATGGGGATTCACATTGTGACCCTGCTACTCACTCTGTGTGACGTGGGCCCGTACCTAACTTTTCCTCGTCGGTTTCCTCACCGGTTAAGCAGGGGCTAGTGCACCTGCCTTACCTCCCCCACCCGCTCCCGTATCGTCAAGACAATCAGAGGGGCCACTAAACGTGAAAGTGCTTTGCAGCCTCAAGAACTCTTTGGAATGGAAATTCTACATGCTTACTTAATAAGTACTGTATTTCTGATGTATATGCATCCACATATATAATACAATATATAAAAATTACATGATTTTGAGCCTGAGAGCAGGGGAAATTTTCCTTTCCCTGACAGCCCAGGAGAAGTGTGGCGGCCTTGAATGAAAGCCCGGTGGTCTGTCCAGTGTGCCGCATTCCGCCCAGACCGGGGTTCCTGGGATGTCGGCGCTTTCTGGGTGCCCCTCAATCATCCCAGCTCACGGGGAGCGAAGTGGTGCGTGGGAATATCAATGTATTGGACCTAAGGGCCCAGCCGAAGAGGCAGAAAAGTTTGAATAAATTTATATCTTAAAATAAAGTTAACTGACATAAAATCAATACTAAAAGGCAATAGAGAATACAGTCAATCGTACCATAATAACTGTGTATGGTGCCAGGTGTGGACTGGAAATTGTGGGGGGAACCCTTTGTAAAATGCGTGGTGGTCTTACCGCTATACTGTACACTCGAATCTAATATAAAATACCATTGACTATAAACCACAGTTGAAAATAAAATGAAAAGCCCTAATTAATTCAAAATGAAAATAGAAATCCAAGGCAAAGAATTGCCTACAGTTTTGTTATCTAAACAAATTTGTCCCTCTTATCTTCTAGATATATGCCTGTTTTAGTTTTTATATATTTTTAGCAATGCTTTCAGTACCTAGAACTCACATTGCACATTTTTTCATGCTACCCGTGAACCCTTTCCTCTTTGTTCCATGTTTTTGCCTCCTGTCCTTACCCTGTAAACATGCTGAGTGTCTCGGACTCCGGTGGATCCCAGCAGAACTTTCTCTGCCCTCCACAACCGTATGCATTATTTCTGCAAACGTGGGATCCGGGGTCTTGTTTAAAAAATAAAAATGGACTTCTACTTTATACATCTGTTCTCACCAACTACATGATATTAACAGTTTCCTATCGCTTGTTAGATCAGTAGGCAAAGAGCGAGCGCATTTTTAATCGCTGCAAAACACCCCATGGCAGGACGTGACCACGACCGACCGAATCGCCTCTCCACTGGCGGGCATTCGGCCCATGTCCCGGTTTTGCCACTACAGGCAGTACGGGATTAGATGTCCTTTTACACAGGGTCCTTGTGGGCTTTCATTTCTATAAAATAGAGTCTACTTGGCATTTTAACAACTGTAATTTTAACTAAAGCAGAAGCTGCGTACACAAGTGGAGGACTGACAGTGATCTGGGTAAGTCATGCATAAAATAGACTTATTTAAATATTAATGGGTATTTCGTGAAACGAGCTTGCCCCCCCTCCATTAATTTATCTGGCAAATTGTCTCGGTCACATTTTTACTTTACAGACATAGATACAGCCACGCAGACAGCTGGCTTGATTGTCCATTTCCAGCATAGAATAGACTTCGTAACAGTAAATTGTTGACATATTCACACAGATGTGATTCATGTTTTCTACACTGTTCCTCAAAAAATATCAATTACTTTCATACTCTTTTTGTTTGTTTTCCCCTCCGCCCCTTGTTCCCACCTACCCCCCAATCTTCAGTGAAAAGAAGAAGAAAGTGAAAGCACCCAGGACTTTGATCACGGAAGACGGGAGGGCCCTGAACGTAAACGAACCCAAGTACGTGAGGCCACGGAGGCTGCAGGCAGCTGCGTCTGTGGGGTTGGTCACTACAACCGCAGGTTTGCCTGCGGAGAATGTGTCTGACCCCCTGACCTCCCTCACAAGCTCCATGACTAGCAGGCAGGGCATTTGTGCACATCCAAGAGCAAAACGTCCATTATGTTTTCAAGTGCATAATGTCATACTTTATTTTCTTGGCACCCGGAAAATGATATTGACATACAGAAATCCTCATTATTCCTATATCCCCTGAAACTTTGGACCATCTATGATTGCATGGCTGAAAATTGCCAGTGCATTATTTTTGTGTGTATTAATTTTTAAAACTCTGCCATGAACAGGCTGGCTGAGAATATTGACACATCTCCCTTCCATCTATTTTACGCCCTGGAACACATCCTCAAAGCATTCGTGAGCTAAGGGGAAAAAAAATGGATACAAATATCTCCATGCAGTTAATGGGAGAAAAACAAATATATAATTTGGGAATTCTCAAGTATAATAGTATATGATTTACCCTACCTGGCTATTTTAAAATTCAAAACTAGAAAGCCAGCTATAAAGGCATTTTGTTGCCAAAATACAGACCAAAAAGCCTATGGTCTAACTCTCGTTCACTTCATTTTGTTACTCAAAACCTGTTTACTTTCATCTTTGGATGGCTAGCCATTACCACGATAAAGGTACCGTCCTGAGTGACTGCCAGGCATTATTCATTCTTCCTTATGGCAATCCCTTGGGACAAGTTGTGTTTCTTTTTCATAGATTGAAAACCTGAGACTGAGAGAGGTGCAGAGACTTGCCCCAGATCACATGGCTGACAGATGTGTGCCTGACTTGCTCGTGCCAGCCCACCTCTAGTGATGTCCACAATCAAGGTCATAGTGTCCCCTATCCCCCACCCCCGACACACATACCTTCTTTATCCAGCAGGCGCGAATGAAGCACAAGACAAGGTGCTGCGCACTGGCGATACAGCAGTGAATATGACAGGTTTCTTCCTTCATGGAGGTTAAAAATCTACTGTTACAGGGCTTAGGAGGCCCCCAAAGCTTTCTGTACCCCTGGTGAAACCACCATTTCTCCCAGCGCACTCACCACTTTACCTGCCCCTAAAATGAATTCTATTTAGGGGGATTCTGTGAACCCCCGATTACCTGTCACCTCTACCACCTTCTTCTGTCACTCTGTAGTTATCCTTTTCAACTCTCCTGAGTCATCTGTTATCTTACAGAATCTTATTCCCACGTGACTCTCTACACCTAATCCAATTCATTCTCTTTCCCCTCCCAGATTCCTCATCCATCATGCCTTCTTTTGTCAACAAAATCTGGACAATTACAATAGCTTCTTAAGTAGTCTCTGTGGTTCCTCTCTTGGCCTCCTATAATCCCTACTACTCAGTTGAATAAAGAAGGAGGAAGGGAGAGAAGGACACACACCAACTCTCTTTAGGAAAATTCCTGGAAATTGCCATATAATACTTTCCTTCACAGAACTAAATCACATAACCTCATCTAGCTGCAAGGGAGGCTGGAAAATGTAGTCTTTATTCTGCAGAGCCATGTTCCTAGTTATAATCAGGGGTCCTATTCCTAGTGAGGAAAGGGGGCAGATAGTGGGGAATGAGAGCAATCTCTGCCATAGAAAACCTCTCTGAAATTACCTTTCAAGTGTTATATGTAGGGAGAGCTTATGTTGGCTGTCTGGAAAATTGGAGAGCAGCAATCAAGGTGAGGGTTCCAGCATGTAAAAAAAAGCTCCTGAGATGAGATAAAAAATGCATAGGTCATTTGAGCCACTGAAGTCCCGCACAGCTGGACTATTGGAATCAAGGACAGTGACTGGCACAAGCAGACAGCCTGCTGAAAGCCAGATCTGTGGCTAATACTGCATTTCCCCAAACCATTCAACTTCTATTCTTCATATTGTTGGGTTATATATTTTACAGAATAATGTGGTAAGTGAAGTGCTCAAAATTAAATTGACCCAGTAATTCTGAAATAGTAATTCTGAACAGTGTGGACATTACACCTAAAACTCAGCCTCAGGGCAGGGCTGTAAGATTTAGGGCTTCAAAAATCCCGCCTCTGCAGGCTCCTGTGGCCTCTTGCACAGCTACAACAGCTTCTCCGAGCCTCTGTCTCTTCATCCATAAGGTGCAGGTCATCAACAATGGGCAGTGTTTCAGCCCATTTCCCAAGGCAATGGAAAGGTCAATGATGAACGGAGAAGAGAAAAGATGGCAAAGAAAGAAAAGAGGCTGTTTAAAACTTAAGGAATAGAATGTTGGACAAGGGGAGACAAATACAGTATTTAGTTCTCCATGATGTTTGCAGTGCTTTAGTGCAACTAGCAACTCCAATAAAATGGAAAATAAAACATTAGCCACCAGATGTCTCTATCTCTGCACCAATGCTATTTTTTTTGTATGTAATTTACCTTAAGATTCTCACATTTAACAGTGTAAACAAATGATTCATGAATATGTTACAGATTTCTGTTGAAATACTTAAATTAACATAGACATGCAATTAGTCAGCCACCAAAATGTTTCTCATTGAGAATTATTATATAATTATTATGAAATTTACTTTTGATAATGGGACGAGGCTGTCTATACGTATTGCTAAAGACATCATCTTTTTTTGTTTTTCCCAAATGGATTATTCTTTAGACTTGACTTCTCTTTGAAAGATGATGAAAAACGTAACCAGATCATCCTGGACCTGGCTGTGTATAGGTAAAGACATTTTATTATGCATTTGTTTAATGACATTTCTGTCTGTTCTCATTCTCAGTGGCAACCTCTTGAGCTGTGAAGCATTTTGAAAGGAAACTTGGTCTGATATAAAACAGGACCTACTCCTCCCCCAGCACTTCTTTCTACTCCCCTCCCCCAACGCTGTGCTTTTTGATTTCTACCTGACAAGCTGTAAATTTACTTGTATTTTAAAAAATTTTGGCCACGGCAAGAACTTTGTTTTGCTTGTTTGTTCCTCCCTCCTTATATCTCCAGCCCGTAAAACAGTGCCTGGCACCTGGTAGGAACTCAGTAAGTACAGGGATGGGTGGATGGGTGGATGGATGGATGGATGGAATAATATTGATGATAGGAGTCAATGAGCATTTATATGCATGAATTATAAGGAAGGTTTTTCTCTTTTTAAAGGTTGCTTTATGTGCTCTATTTTATTTAATCCCTCATTACCCAGTTAAGTAGGAGGGATTATTATCCTGGAATTATCCAGGAGGGGGTACATTTTCAGAGAGTGAGTCTTGTCAAAGTAAACACAGTAATTAGAGAAGCCAGAACGTGAACACCCAGGCCCAGTTCCAACTTTGTCTTTTTTTTTTAACTGCAGCAAAACACATAAATTAAAATTTACCATCTGAACCATTTCAAATGTGTAACTCAATGAAATTTAATACATTTACAATGTTGTGCAACCACTACTACTATCCGCTTCCAGGAAATTTTCATCACGCCGGAAGGAAGCCCTGAACCCATTAAGCAGTCGCTCCTCGCTTCCCTTTTCCCTGGTGACCCCTAATCTCCCTTCTATCTCCATAGGTTTGTGCATTCCAGGTATTTCATATACATTGAACTACACGTGACCTTGTGTCTGGCTCCTTTCATTTAGTGTAATGCCTTTCGCGTTTGTTTATGTCGTAGCGTCTGTCAGATTTCCTCCCTTTCCATGGCTGACTAATATTTCACGGGGTGGGTATGCCACATTCAGCCACCCACTCACCAATTGACAGGCATTTGGGCCTTTGGGCTTCCACCCTTGGCCGTTGGGAAGAGCGGCCAGCTCTTAGTGTGCTCCCTTCCTCTGCACGCCGGCTGCCTCTGCCTCATGCCTGCCAATTCTTTGGCCGCCTCCCCACCTCCCCCGCACCCCCGCTGCCCAGTCACCGGACCTGCCTTGAAAGGGCTCCCTGTCCCTTGTTCCTCCAGCTCCCCAGGCTGCCCTCTCACTTGCTTTTCCAGTTAAACAATCTCTGTTACCTCTTTTTCTGGCCTTTCCATTTTTAGGCCTTATTCCTGGAGTTTAATGAATGTGCAGTCTTTTCTCTTTTTAGGTCGGTTGGCTGCTTTACCTTCAGCCTTGAAAGGGAAACTTTCCTCCTCCCCGTGCATGTACATTTTCAAAGAGCAGGGATATGTCTCCTGTCTGGGTGGAAAATCCTTCCACTCCCCTGATGCTGTCTAAACTAATTGGACGAAAACCCCTTGTTATCTTCATTGGCACGTGGCTGTGCGTGTGAAGTTTATTCATTCATTCATGTATGCTTCCTGCCTTTATTCAACCAATACCTATAGAATACCTACTATGTGCCATGCACTGGGCAGCTGAACCTGGCCGGTTCTAAATATAGTTCCTGCTCTCCTGTAGCTTGTGGCCCAGTAAGGCAGACAGACAGTCAGCAGGCAGGCAAACAATATGTCATCACAAAGGGAGGAGAGCGCCCTGTGGGAGAGGGACAGAGACCAGGGACAGGGAAGAATGGTGTGTGTAGCTTGGTGGCTGGGGTCCTAGTCAGGGAAAGTCAGCCCTGTGAGCACTGGAAAGATAAGGATGAGAAGCAGTGAGGTCCATGCAGGACTGGCTGGAGGTGGTTTTTCGGCAGAGAAAAGCAGCGCACGCAAAGACCTTGTAGGTAGGGACAGGTGAACACCTTAGAGGCCCTACGCATGAAAAAGAATATGCCATCCATTCCTGTGGTAGATATTACACATGACATTGGAGGAGACCTTGAGTCTACTCTTTATTATTATACATTTTTAAAAGACTTTATTTATTTATTTTAAGAGGGGAAGGGAGGGAAAAAGAGAGGGAAAGAACTGTCGATGTGAGAGAGAAACATCGATTGGTTGCTTCTCGCACATACCCTAACTGGGAACCGAACCTCCAACCCAGGCACGTACCCTGATCAGGAACTGAACCAGCAACCCTTCACTTTGTGGGATGACGCCCAACCCACTGAGCCATACCAGTGAGGGCTATTATCGTAATTTTTATTTGAAAAAATGGAATGATGCTTTATAAACACTAACTATGAACTAGGCACCGTGCATGTGTCTCCATAGCAATCTTAGGGAATAGGCACTATTCATATGCTCATTTCACAGATGAGGAAACTGAGGCTTAGAGAGGTAAAGGAACATGGTCCAAAGTAACAGCAGGAAGGCATGGAGTCCTCTGTCACAGGACTGTGTGACCGAGGCCCATGCCTGTAACCCCAGCGTCACCTACCTGCTGGGATGTTTCTGATTTGTGAATCATCACTGCGTTTTCTAATGTTCACAGTCAGTATTTTAAAATGTATAAAAATAGTTCTTTGGCTAAAGGAGGGAGGAGAGCTCTACATGTTTCCTTTGATCAGAAAGTGGAGGAGAGTAATTGCCACCTGATCGTGGGGACACTGCCACAGACGGACGCTTTGCTCGCTCAGCGGGAGGTGCCCTTGCAGGGAGAAGCGAGCCAGCGTGGTGGGGGAGCGGGTATGAGGGCAGAGGCGGGACAGCCCCAGAGATGGGGAGCCGCTAGGGACGCAGGAGCTGGGGGCGCAGCCCAGCAGAGAGCAGCCAGCTGCCCCGCCGTTCAGGGTGGTCTTAGGGGCTTAACAAAATACTCCTGAAAGAGCATGGCACGTGTTTTTTGCAAACCTCTGATGTGTCAGGACCTCTGATATTTTTTGGGTGTGGGGCAGTCAATGCCAAGTGTACTGTTGGGTCTAAAAATGGAATTGCTGATATACTGACTTTCCTTTGGTCTGAGGATTTAACTCGAGGCTAATTTTTTAAGACCTGTTCAGCATGGAAATTTTAAACTCTGTGCATTTAAAATGGTTGGTCCCAGAAGCCTGAATTTGTAATTGTAAATGAATTTGCAAACTTAATGTTTTTGAAAACTCACAAGATTTAGTATGTTTAATATGTTGAATTTTCAAGGTTTATGGATACCTCTTTAATCAATGTTGATGTGCAGCCAACTTACGTGCGAGTCACGGTCAAAGGAAAGGTGAGTATCAGCCTGTGGACCCTTACAATTTCCAAAGCCAAGCCTTGGACTAAGCAAGGCTGCCTGGACATAGTGAAATAGAAAAGCAAAAACCCAATCAGAGAGCTATTTTTTAGGTACATGATTTTATGCCATAGGAACAGTATTGGGCTGGAATGGTTGCTGACCATTGTGCGGCTTGATAAAATTACTATTTTTAACCTGCTTTATGTGCTCTATTTTATTTAATCCCTCATTCAATAAAGTGTGTCTATGTCATTGGTACATTTTCCCAAGACTGTTACATATGGCATAGCCTATGCTTGAAATTATATTCAAATGATATGCCGATTTGATGTTATTGTATTGTATTTTTCCATTACCATGTAGACCCCTGGGCCCCCCTCCCCCCAATCACCTCACTGATGTCCGCGTCCACGAGTCCTTTTTCCTTTCTGCCCAATCACGCCACCCCTACCCTCTTTTAAATTTAAATTGTCAATGCTTTCATTCGTAGTAATTGTAATTTCGTCATTTTTGAAATAATAGTTTTTGTTAATTCTAAGCATTCATGTGAGGTACTTGAAGACTTTGAAATGGAAATAATGTTGATGTTTTATGTCAGTAATATTTATCTACAAACCCTTTGTCAGCCACGTTAACATAAATGGACCAATGAGTGTTTCATTGTTTATGATTGATGACCGTTCTTTAGATTATTCATTAAAACAGGTAGAATAGTTCATGTATATCAAGCATAGTCCATATAGTGGTTTTTTTTCTGATAAGTCTAAGCACATTTTAGAAAACTAAATGACGCATCTTATATCTGTAATGAAAATACCTCTTAAAGTAACTTCTCTCTTGTAAGATGCACGTACTCTGTGACACTTCCTGTTCATTTTCAGCCCTTTCAGCTCGTCCTTCCGGCAGAAGTCAAACCTGACAGCAGCTTTGCTAAAAGGTCCCAGACAACAGGGCATCTGGTAGTCTGCATGCCCAAGGTAGGCAATGTCATTTGGATCAATTCCAAGTCTGGATATTTTGGTTCCTGTGGGTACTTGACCTGTCAGGGCTAATTATGACTTCTGATCAAGTTTTTTTTTGTTTTGTTTTGTTTTTGGTTGAGAAAGCCAGAAAATCTACTCACATCAGCTTAGGCAGGAGAACAAAGACCTATGAGAACAGAGAACCAAAACTAGAACGCGGCTGGGGCCTCAGGTAACTCGTCTTGCCAGGAGTTCCTGCCTCCGCAGCCCAGAGTGTGGGCACATCCATTACATGGTGATCTGTGCTTTCCTTGCCTGTAGCCGTGGGAGGGGATGTAGTCGGCCGTGGCTATCGAAGGATGGGTTGGAACTCCAAATAGTGAGCTTACCAGTTTTGTGACTTTGGGCAAATCATGAACCATTCTAGGCTTCTCTGTCCTAATGAACACTTAAGAGAGGTAACACACATAAAATTCATAGTACAGTGAGAACACTCCATAAATATTGCCAGTATTATTTTTTATATTTTAATGATATGGATAAGGTATTATTTTAGCTAAAACTCTTTATCATCTATTTTTTTAGGGAGGGGTGGTATAGATATACTTTTGATACAAACCAGATAAAGACACAGAGAGATCTCTCCAATCACCACAGAATGAAAGTTCCTCTGGCTTGATTAAGCCATTTTCACTGACAAGCGCAGGTCTTTAGCTGAACCCTGGACGATTCAACCAATCTCTGGCCAAAGAGATGGTAGCACTTTGTTTTGTTTCTATTATTTTATATTTGGTTCCTATTATCTCATGCCATGAGCTAGGGGTGGGGTCCGCTTTGTCCAAGTCACTCAGGTTTCAAAGGGGAAGAATAGATAAGCCAGTTAAAATGGGATTCTGCCTCTGAAGAAGAAAAGGTGAATGGGTCACGCATGCCTCCCACCAAGAGTATAAACTTGATTAACCAATAGGATTTCGATGATGATTTAATAATCCTTCATTTGCCTATAGCTAGTTTTGCAACAGATTGATCATGGTAATCATTTATGTATTTTTACTCAGAGGCAATAAAATAGCAAATATAATTTGTTGTCAAGCAAGGAAATAAACACAACTGTAAGAATTGCATTGTCTTGGTGACTGCAACAGATTAAGGAAATGTATGCTAATTAGAATGCCCTATAGGGAAATCAAAGAGATAACTTAATTACCTTAGTACTTTGATATAGATGTTTGTATAACACTATGATCTGCAGGGTTTTGGGTTTTTTTTGAAACTTTTGTTCTAACTGAAAAGCCAAAGACGAAATGATGGCTGCTACTTCCCAAAAGGAAATTGAGGCATGATTTGCGTTCCGCCTGGTGGGTGCCCAGCAGCCCATGGGCAGGCCTTTGCTGTCACTGCTTATGGATCTTTTCAGCAGATACAGCATTCTATTTCCATTATCCTTTTTGTTTCTATACCTGTAAACTTTTCATGTTAAATACACCTGAAAAGTATGAAAATTATATATCCAATGATGTAAGTTTTTCCATTTATTACTCTTATTTTATGGCCCTTAGGTTTTGTTTTGTTTTTTTTTTTTTTTTTTTTGTAGCTTTTTCTCTATAGCTGCCACATACTTTCTCAAGTTTATTTACAGTTACCATACATATGGTTTTAGTTTCTGCTTCTAGTGGGAATATTCCGCCATCACATTTTCTTGGAGTTTATGTGTGCCCTCAGGTATGTTTTCTAAGTGTGAGGTCAGACTAAGTTCTATGTCCATAAACAATCTTAGCGTCGGCAGCCTGGGAATCTTGGGCATGCGACCTCATCACAGGCCAAGTTAACAAGATTTAACTGAAATTTTGCGTTCACTGAAAAGCTTGCATCAAGTCATTAAATTAAACTCCCATCTCGATTCTCAATTGGCAAGTTATAGGAACACTCCAAGAATATGCATTATGATTTCCTTTGGGTGTTCTTGCAGAATAATTAACTGAGATTAAGGAAGTTGCCATGTGAACAGAACAGCCAAATGTATTTACAGCTTTCCGTTAGTGAACATATTGTTCGATTCTGCTACATTGTGCACAGAGGTGGAGGTCGGGTACTAAGGTCAATATTACAGACCGTGATTCTGAAATACACAACCTCAAACTCTCCTCTCCTTACTACTTGGACATCTCTTTCTCAGTACTTTCTACTCAGATACACTGGTCACATGCCCGTCGTCAATTCACATTTAGTCTCTGATTGTTCATTTCGGGTGGGTCTGTAGTGAGGGCTGCTAGGTTGTTCTGTTCCATTAATACTTCTATTCTTGCCCTGGCTGGTGTGGCTCAGTGGATTGAGTATTAGGTTACAAACCAAAGGGTCACTTGTTCGATTCCCAATCAGGGCACATGCCTGGATTGTGGGCCAAATGCCCAGGAAGGGGCGTGCAAGAAGCAACCACACATTGATGTTTTTCTCCATCCCATCCACTTTCTCTAAAAATAATTAAATAAAAATCTTAAAAAAAAATACTTCTACTCTCTTTTAGTACATTATTTCTCATTGGTAAAACTTCCAGAAGCACCAAAGGTTAATTTCCGCATACTTCAACCATCATATCTTCCCTTGCTGGGCCTTCCTTCCTGATTCTATGAATAAACTGTCTGTGACCGAGCCAGGCTCTCTAGATGTGTGTGTTGGATCTTATTTCCACTTGTCTTGGAAAGACCCTTGTCCCCTTCTGACAGTTCCCTATCCTCTCGACTGCTTCCCTGAATTTCCTGTCTGCATTTTACATTAGAAAACATGCGGAATAATCCGCCTTCCTAAAAACAGAAAAAAATTAAAACACCCACCTCTATTTATTGCCCTGATCTGTTTTACTGCGAAACTCTTAAAACAGACATTTATATTTGCTTGCTAGTTCTTTCCGCTATCCAGGCCTCTGAAAGTCAGTCAGCCTGCCTAGTCATGGAATTCTGGGACCCCTTCTCTTCTCTATTTATACTCATTCCCTGCATAATCTCTTCTAATCTAATGACCCCAAATAACATCCCTAGATCTCCATCACCTGCTAATGGCCAACCAGGTAATTAGGAATAGCAAACACATTGAGGAAAATTTAGGAAGATAAGAGTATGTATTTTTTTAAAACAACTTAGTAATATCAATGCCTATTAAGATAGTGCACAATTTGTGTCTACTGGCCCAGGAGAAATGGCGGAGAGGATAAACCATGTTTCCAATGAATACGCAGGAATGAGAAGAAGAGTCAAGTTTCCAAGGCCGCCATGGATGGGGGTTCTATGAACCTTGTCTACTTTGCCATGTGACTTTGAAGGATCATAACCTAAGAATGAGGTGAATGAGAAACCGGCTGATCTTCAGATGGTCTTGCAGCCTGCCTAAATGGCTATTTAAGTGACCCCCAAACTGGACCTTGAACTTGAATGAAGGTAGTCTTAGATGAATACCACCCACACATGCTTCACGAAACCCAGTGAAAATCCTCCAGAAGTAAACATCGCCATGGACTCAAATGATAGATAGACAGATATCTTTTTAAGAGAGTACACATGCACAAAGTTAAGCTAGGCACCCACAGAGACATGAGTGGGACCCAGTTGAACCCCAGCCAGTGTTTTGGAGTCTGGTCATACCAGGTTGTTCTTTTCTTCCTGAGAACCCCATGGTTATAGCAGACGTTAAATTGTGATACGTAGACTGTAAAATGCTGTTTTAACTTGAGGCCTTCCAGAATGGAACCTAATAGAGGGCTAGAAGTGCAGCAGTTTATTTGGTGAGGGAGGGAACGCTGGTGGGGAAGTAGGGAAGGGAAGGCAGCCGGCAGCTAGGATTCTGGTGAGCTGGCGTCCCCAGAGGGAAAGCTGGAGGGCACCGTGCAAAACGCAGTCTCAGGGCAGCGCCACCTACAGGCTGATGGGGCTGGGATGGTGGCAAGCCAGCCCCTGAGTCTCTCGGGCAATGGCGGCTGCTCCCTGCCGTGGGGGCACAAGGTCGGGGCGGGGGTGGTGCAATAAATGCCCCCAGCACTTCTGAACTGTTGCCAGCATAGACCGAGCAAGGTAATCATGGGAATGGAGGATGTTTGCATCTGAGACTATCTCTACCAAAGTTATAAAAGGATATTTTCTTTTCTTTTTAAACATCATTATCACCCTTGAGTTTTGTCCTAGTTTAACAAACTATTTTTCAGTTTTAGACTGTGTTGAGTAGATGATCCTTAATGGAAACCTGTCAAGTAAGGTTGCACTTTACAAGTATAAAAGCATTTTGGGAACTATTGTTCATTATATTTGTTCTACCTTTATTTCAAAGTCTTGTAACAGTCAGTATTGATTTCACATATAAATATCAGTAATTGCACCTTTTAAAAGTTTCCTCAGACAACTTGGGTAACTTTGGAATCAAAGCTAATATTTTTATGCCTCTTATTTTTTTGTTCATTTTCAAAATTTAAATTTTCTTTGCTTCCAAGTATGTATTTGTTTGAGATAGACTATACTTCAGACATGTTTGACTTCTATATATAGGTATTTTTACCTGTTCAAAGATTTTATATATAAACATAGTCTAATAAAAATGCTTTATTGATTCTAAGTTTTATATTAATAATATTGCTTTATGGGAATCTGAACTTTGTATACTAAAATGTTCAGTACCAGAATGATGGATAATTAACTGATCAATATAACCACCAGAGATATGTAAGCAGGTGCACAATTGACAAGTGACCCAATTCCTCTGATGCTGGTGAGGATTGTTAGAAAGCAGCGGTCCATCTCCCTCCTTGGGTGGAGCCTTGTTGCTGAGGACTGTGCCCCCAGCCACGGATTCCACCGCCCCGCCCCCCAGGTCGGGCCACCGCTTACTGCAAGGCAGGCTGCTAGCGAGTGGACTCAGTTTGGAAGACGGTTATGAAGAAAATAATGTGGAGATGTTTTTAGAAATTACTTCTGAGTGGAGATGTTAAATGTGCACACTTAAGCAAAATGATGATGCGCCCATAAATAAATTAT